GAGGAACGGTGAGTATCCTCGACAATGAGAGCTCCTCGATGAAATGGATGATCGGTGGCCCGGAAATTGCGCGCTTAGTGAAAGATTTCAACAGAAAAGAAGAAGAAAACGAAGTAGAGAAAAGACACCATGAAGACATCGGTCCTTTCGATACTTTCTTGTGAAGCATTGTATTCAGCTAATCTATTAGATACCAACGTCTTTATTTCCCTGAGCTTAAAAACAAGCGTGATATCTTCTGATGATGTAATGCATTCCCTTATGTATTCTACAACTTCAGTCACGACTATAACGTAAAGAATGTCGTTTTCAAAATCTGCTAGTAGCGGCGAACATGTCACACGAAGCTTGTTATAGAGAGCTATAAAACAACTTTTATGGTATCGTGCTTCGATTGCCACAATATCTCCTTCACTTAATTTAGCGAGAAGCTTTTCATCTGATAGCCTTGTCGCTGCATTTCTCACTCTCGTATCTAAGCCAAGAGTCCGTGCATTACACAGATTTCCAGCAGTTTCGGCTTCGTCACAGAAAAAGCAAGTAGGGATAAAATTTTGGCGACAAATTTTGAACGTGTACTTCAAGTTAGCAAACTTTCTTCAGAAAATCCTTCTTTTGCATGCACGCTCATAGTGATAGTTGTCATAACTATTTTGACATGATTTGTGGAATTTAGCCTTATTTTGAATCAAATCCTGAAGTACGTTTTCTCTGTCAATTCTTACCTTCAATCAAAGCAAATAGTTTTCCAATGGCCTTGAAAGTTTTCAAATTATCAATTACAGTCGAATAACCGCGAGTTCCATTATCTGACGTGCTGGTGGCTGGACATATTAATGGACTTGTTGAAGATTCCTCTTGGCATATAAAGCACAAATCCCAAATGATTACTTGGTCAACTTTAACTTGGAAAGTATGGAAATTTTCCGATGCAACAAAAAACAATTGACGACTTGCAATCTACATTGTATAAAGCTCAGATATTATTCAAAGCAATTTTATGGCTGTTTGGTGCGAGGTTTTGCATTGTTCATTATCATATAATATCTTCTTTTAATTACATGTTCTCATTATTTTTCTATTTTAAGAACACCGTAATATAATACTATTAAATGCCTTCTATTGTCCCCGAGCCGACGGCGCGGAGGGTACTAATTCCGCCCGGCTATTTACAACCGGGGAAAGGAACGCACCAGCGCAGTCTAAAGTTCATCAAATATCGTGGGCGCATGGCTCACCGTTCATGGGTGGTCATCCTCACTGATCTCAAAATATGTAGCGAACTGTCGTGAATAGTGAACACTGATTGGTCAAATTTGAAATTTGCATTATAACGACTGTTGCAATTTTGTACATTTCAAAACCTTTCTGAGAGCCAAAAAAACGTCTAAAAGAATAGAGCGAAGTTGCCGACGTTAATGAAGGTAAGTTTGTTTTAAATATTGATGTGTTGTTTGTTTTATAATTTATATATTTATAAGTGATAGTGATAGTGATGGGCGATACTGCGAATATCGAACTGATACTATCATTGCGTATATAAGTGAAAAAAGACAGCATATAATTTCAGTGTAGTTTTATTAATTACCCTTTGTTTTGTATATTAAAGTATTTAAATAAAGAGGAAAGCAAAGTTATTTTCATGTGAGAATTTGAAATTAGTTTATTTCAAACTCAATGTTTACCGATAAAAGGCCGTTTAGTTTTAAGAACATTTTAAAATGTTTTGCGAAGCGTTTGTGGTTGAATTTTACATTAAATTGAAGCTTATATTACGTATAATAACATACATAGCATATATTGGTTTGGGAAATTGATAATGTTGTTATTAAAAGTGATATTTTGAGGGATTTTTCAATTTTAAAACTATTCTTTAAATTATCGTGTTGCCATGACAAATAGTCATGCCTACTTTCAATTCTTCATATTCAGAAAACATAATATTTTGTCAGTAAGGCGAGGGTTTCTGCATGCATGTATTTTCTAGTTCTAAATTTTAAATTACACGGCGTCTAAATTAAATGGCTTCTGTCAAGTGCACATATAGTCATGGATAGTCTTACTTCTGGGTGGAAATTTAATGCTAGAATATACCGGGTGTCCCAAAAAATTTATAACCATATCCTGTTTAATTTCATGTCCATGAAAACTATGAAAGCTGTTGCACCGAAATAATAGTTTATTTTATTCAGAAAAAGTCAACTAAGATATGTAACATTTCCGTGCAATATTGACTGTGCATTGTGCTATTGAGTATTGATGTTTTGAAGTTGTCAGTTGAACTACCATTTTAGAAAATACAAACTGAAATTGGTATAAAACGGTCTATCAAATACGCGCTCAATACAAGTACTTAAGTTTAGTTGTGAAATATTTCTTGG